CAACTTGCCACCCTGTGAGGTACGGTGATTGGACTCTCTTGTATGTCTACTTGAAGGGTCGGTAGAACCCCAGGGTTTCATGCGAACTTTCATACAGGTGTGTCTCTGTGTGTGTGTTGACCTCGCCTTCGAACATGGGGCATCCAAACAGAGCTATATGTACGTCCGACCATGCACGTCCGACATCTCCTGACGTGGAGTCGCAGACTCCACAGCTAGGGAGTTCAAAAGATTCACTTCGTGCCGAGGTGTTTGGTATATATTTCCATATATAGATCCCATGTATAGATAGAAAATATTAGAAAATAGTAAAATCCTGTTCAAAATGTATTGGACACCCTGCCAATATCTATTTGGGGACCACTATGGAACGAAGGGATTCTCAGAGATCAGCTATCTGAATCGGTTTCATGTCCTTGGGTTGGCTGGTTCCGAAGTCGCGAAAAATAGAACTATAGATGGAACTATAGTGACTATTCCCCCACCAGCACCCTAACAGGCTGTTCGTTGAGGGTTGTTGGACCCTGACAGGTCTCAATTGACCTGTTTATCGTCGGGTCCTGGCATAAAATTCGAGGGAAAAAGAACGACACGTCGCGATCCGCCAGAGGTCGGGATTCCCACGGTCCCATGTGGCGCTCTCATCTTCACTCCCACCCGGTGCGCCGTCCGCGCAGGCGTGGAGCCGCACAGAGTTCCCCTTCGGTTGTCCGCCGCGCGTGGAGCCGGGCAAGCTTGAAGCCTCGGTTCGTGGTGCGTTCGCTGTGAGTTCTGAACACTGTTTGGGGTGAGTGCCATGAGTGGAAAACCACTCCGAAACTCGGAGTTGTTCACTCAAATGTTTGGGAGTACTGTGAAAAATGGTGTCGGGATCTGCGTCGTCCCTTCGCGAATCTAGAATAGGTGTACCTGACACCGTGTCAGCCAAAAAAGAAACATTTCACCTCCTTTTCCAGCGACAAATGGGTACACCGTTTTGTAGAATAGGGAGACGAGAAATAGACCAAAGCTGATTGGTTGTGGAGGTCTCTCGGTCTCCCTATTAAATTACACACCCAAATGCCTCGAACGATGGGTGTCTTGGTCACCCGAGCCAGCGCCAGTGCCATGGGAAGTTTCCGCGGTCGCTGTCAGCGCGAGAAATCGCAGGCCATGAAAGTGTCTGCTTTCGTCGGAACCGACGGGAGGTCTATACCGAGGCGTGGGTTAGACATGTGTCTGGGCTGTGAGACAGATGTCGACGTGGTGGAAGATCCTCGTTGTGCAAAGCCCCAACCCTCAGAGCTTTCCGTTGGACATCGTGGTGGAAGATCCTCGTGCGAGATCTCAGTGTTCAGTTCTGGCGGGTGTCCGCTCCGGTTCGGCTACAGTACTAGTACATACACGAGGTGTCTCAGACTCTCGTGCGGGTGTACTCTCGTGCGTCCGACGATGTCATAGATGCACTGTTTGACTGAAAGGAGCTGCTATACTTGGTGTCCGGTCTCGCAGCTTCTAAACACCTGGTGTCTGGTCTTCTGCTATACTTGGTGTCGGCATTCTGCTTCAGCCACATGTCGATGTACGGACTCGCGAGACCACGCATCCCGGTATCGGGAGCGATGCCGGTTCCGTTTGAAAGGCCAGGACCCCCTACGAGTAGTAGGGTAGCGTTCTAGTAGGCACGGCTAGGTATTCCCTTTAGCTCCTAGTAGCGTTCTTGTTCGAAGGCCAAGCGGCCGAGCCTCCGGCCGGAACAACTCTCGCCGTCACACGGTAAGACCGGCTGTGCTGTGACCTGTGACCTGTGACATCGTCCTTGCCTTCCACTTCCACAGATCGACGAATAGAAAAAACAGAGCGTGTGACATCTCAATGTTCCGGTGGTCTTCAAGGGAAACTGGAAGAACCATTACTTGAATGGTCGGTACCTCTTTGGGACTGGGTCTTTGAGCCACATGAATTCTGGTGTTAGATCTCTTGTGGTCCATCCAGTGCGCGGTTCTTAGAGCCCTTGAGAGGACAAACCTATGTTCTTTTGCCGTGCACGTGGTGAACCCCACGTGCGTCAACCGCTCCTCAAGTCAAGGGATGGTCTGAGTTTATACCCTATTTCCAACCACCATTGATTTATAAATGATTATGTTATCTTTTCCCAAACAACCGGTGTGTTACCAAAGATCTTCATCTGTAGACTACCAAACTGTACAAAATGGTGATGCGAAAAGAGAAGCAGCGCCAGGCCGCTGAATTCACACTCCTTCCCGCTGCGAAAAGAGAAGCAGCGCCCTTTTGTACTCCAAAGCTGACCAAACCAGGATTGTCGAGATCCATCTCGGCCCCCTTCCCCCACTTCTGGCGGCCTCCCGTCGTTCCGTAAAAAGAACATCGTCGTCCGAAAAGAGGAGAAACGTCGAAGATGACGTCGAAGATGATGAGATGACAGTCTCCCGAGTGACGGAGTGACTATAACAAACCAGATGCAATGGTCTCCATTCAAAAAAACAACTGAAAAACATTTGGAGTGACAAATGAGAGTCGGGTCATCCCATGTCATCCCTTTGTTGGATAGCCGGGGATGGTCGAAGGCCGAACCGAACTGCCTTAGTTGAATGAACATCTACCACCTTCAAAAGGGATGTCCGGTACCGGTAGTCCCACTTGAGTGGAGGTGGTAGAGTATGTTCTGCGCATGGCATAGCTCATTTCCTCATAGTTCCAACAGGTCTTCCAGCTCACCATGCCACGCCCCCAAAACAAACCGGAAGATCTCTAGCTCATGTGTTTCTTTTTTGCCGATGATGATGTGAGAACACAAGGGAGGCCAGCCAGGTCAGCCATCAATGCAGGGCACGTGTTCACAACCATTAGGCGCGGACCGAGTCGTCCGCACGTGTGAAAACACGCCGCTTCGCATGGAGAGCTTTACAGCAAGGCCATGCGGTCTACTTTCCTCTACGGGCCGCGGGCAAACTCTGGACTGCGGGCTCGACACACACTGATGAATTGATCCGAATAGTAAAGTCATGAATTGATGGGTTCAGAACCCCATCTCGTTTCATGTGTTCCATGTCATCTGCCACTTTCTCTTCATTGACCCGCTCTGAGTTGCTCCGGGGAAACCTTGCTCCGGGTGCCGTGGTTCCGTGCGACGTCTTCTTTGACGCCCAGGAAGCCACGTCTGGGGTGTTGAGAGAGTCGAGCAGAAAAAGGCCTCGGTGCACCGGGCATTTACTTCATGCCTCTACAGTGGCTTGGGCGCTTGGAGCGCTTTTTGGGCTGCACGGCTTGGGGATGTCCGGCATTCTTCTTCTGCTTCCATCTCCGGATTGCTTGCCCTGGCTTGGACTCTCTCTCACACGAAGTGTCCCCACCGAAATCATGTTAGGCAGGGAAGAGGCAGGGCCGGCCCGGCCGAACGACGTCCTTTGAGATGAAAACGCCAGGAGTTAGCGGCTGTGGCACCCCAACCCGATCACGGAACCACCCCAGCCATCCGATCCGACTGAAAAGCCAGCTGGTTTCACCGCTGAGCTCACGCCGAACCCGTTTCCGTCGTGTTTTTCGAACCTCTAAGGGATGGACTACCTCTAGTAGCGTCCTTGTTACTACCCAAAGGCTCAGAAAGGACCCTCAGTTCGCTAGGGTTTTGACCCTCACAACTAGGGTCCAAGACCTCAAACATGTAGCAGTTGGTTCGGGTCCAGGGTCGCGTCTGGGTATAGTAGTCCTCCCATGGTCTTCCCCTTTTTCGCAAATCATCTTCGGTTCGGTTCGAATCGCGTCGGTCACAGCCATCATCACGGCCAGGAGAACCAGTCGCTCTCAACATTGACTCGTCAAAGATACGCCTAAAGAACGTCAAAGGTCCGCGGCAACGTGCAAATTATATAAATTATATAACAAGTCATTGTCAACATATTTTTTTAATATTGTCTACGGATCTAAGGATCTTAAGGATGTCTAAGGTTCCTTTTTTGGATTCCGGGAAAAACGGAACAGGGTTAAGCCTCGACCGTCGAGATTCGGGCTAAAGCATGGTAGCTAGCTGTCGTTCTTCGTTCAGCCGATTCAATAGATCCAGCCGCCTCACAGGCCGCCCATTCGAGCGGCGAAAGTGACTCTCGATCTAGGGCAGTTTCTGCCGCACGTTTAAGTGCAGTGCGAGGCCCAACTTGCCTTTCTTTGACTTTCGATCGCAGTGCGGGGCCCTTGTTCTTTGTTCGGCCATAGATGTAACAACAATCCTTCCAAAGTAAATATCCCTGGATAGCATGTAGAAACTGATCTGCGGCCATTTTCGCATGCGTCAACGAGCATTTGTCGTGGGCCGTGAGTCCAGCGGACGCACGGCGTGGTCCGCGTGCCGCACCGGACGGTGGTGCCTTACTTTTGGGGCACCCTGGGGCGAACGCCTCGTGTGATGGGTCGACCATGATGGTGCTGGTGCGAACGAGAAGAACGCCTGATTCCAAACTTGTGGGAAGGATGAAGGGTGTTTTGACATGGGGAAACCTCCAAAAAAAGGAACTTGGATATGGAAGAAAAATAGACCAAAACCCATGGGTTGGGCGTCTCCAAAATACACACCCATTTATGGATGGTGCATCTTGTACTCCGAATGCTGCAAAATGGTCTCGCAGTGTGCGGAGGACCAAATCCCCGAAAGGTTGGCCGAAGGAGATATTGGAATGCATAAAATATAAAGATCTGGTGTGATTTCAACCCACCTGAAGAGTTCATAAGTCATAAGAGCAATTGAAACTATAACTTGAAACTTGAAAGCACCAAACAAAAATCAGGAACTATGCAAGGGGGACCAGTCAAGTACTGGCGGGACCCACTCTTGGGTTTTTCAAAACCCAGAGTTGCTTCTCGTCTGTCCACCTCCGAGTGATCATGTTCCAAGATCTTCCAAGGTTCCCCTACCAGTTGACTGACCGTCAATCTGACCTGTCCACTTGCCTCTCTCCACATCTCTCGGTCTTGTCCTATCACCCGAGACGGTGGGTGAGACTGTCTCAACCAGCTTCTTCCTCTTCCTTAGCTTGTCCTGGCAGATCGGAGAGAAAGACCCGAGGCATTGAGTTGAAGACAAGATCCATCTCCAGCTCCACAAGACAGGGACCGACGATCTACATTGGTACATGACAGTGTCTGGGGGTCTAAGTCTTGACCTGGTCATAGAAGGTCACAAATTCATCCAATGGAGACATGGAATTCACGTGGCTATGTGGCTGGACGGTCAGACTCGGAGTCCGCCGGACCTGGACGGTCAATGAAATCACTTCGTTGGAACTGGAAGATCTGGCAGGTGGAGATTCAGGACGTCTTCCCCGGACGTTGGATCTTCAGGCTCGGACGTGTTCATCTTCATGCCCAGCCTTTCCAGATCTTTCCCACCTCCACAGTAGGCTGCCGGCTAGACCGTAGAGAAGTAAAAAATAGAAAACACCTCCACATCACCCAGTCACTTCACCAGTCTTCGGTCGCTCCTTCGCTCTGCCCCCGGGTCAAGAGGGACAAGCGCAAGGCTCGCTCGTCCTGGCGTGGCGGAACCGGGAAAACGAAAGCACGTCCTGGGTTCGGTAGATGCACCATGAGAATCATGTTGAAAGCCGATGTGTGTCCAAAATCATAGTCGATGCACCATGATCATCATGTTAACAAGCCGATTTGTAATATAAAAAGCATCATAAAACAATATAGTCAGACTCCATGACGTCAGTTCATGTCAGTTCCACGAACAGACCCGAACTAGATTTAAAGTGAAGCGAAGTCTCCACCTCAAAGAAGGCTAAAGGGTTATCCAACGAGCTGCAGTCCATCCCTGACAAAGTCAGTTGAAACGAACCTTCCACCTTCCCCAATCCCTCAAAGAAGGGTGGTAATCTGCAGATGATCCACAAACTTCCTGGGTAGGGTCCAATGTGATCATCAGATCCAGCGAAGGATAGTGAGATGAGTTGCTCGTTCATGTCCTGTACATCACGGGAATTCGGTCGATTGACCGATCTCGCTGCAGACTCGATCGTTTCAATCAACAAGCTACACTCCTTGAAACACTATCATGGGCTAACGTTGAGTGAGTTCACCACCTGTTGGGTATGGATGAACATGGATTCTTATATGGTTATATATCCTTTCAGGGGCCATCCATGCCATCCACGTCGTCAGAACGAGTGCGGAGTGTACCGGAGATGAGTGCGGAGTGCCACAACCGACCTGACCATCGGTCGTTGACCTGACCAACGGTGGTTGTTGACCCGGGGTCGGAGTGGCTGTGAGATACAACCATCACCCAAAGGCTCAGAAAGGACCCTCAGTTCGCTAGGGTTTGGACCCTCACAACTAGGGTCTTGGACCGAACCAACATGTAGCAGTTGGTTCGGGTCCAGGGTCGCGTCTGGGCAAAACGACATGAATTGGCATGAACCCAGATACCAGGAACTCTTAACTAGCCGGTGCACCATCCATGCTTCCGTGGACGTTCTGGAGATCGTGTGGGTTGGAGAGCAGACCGTGCTGGCGTTCGCAACCTCATCAAACATGTGGCTTCTAGAGATACCCTCCCTCAGCCTCATCATGGAAGAGGAAAACATAGGACCACCAGCTCAAGCTGGTGTCCGGAACATGGTCAATCCGAACGAACTGGGCCGTTTGCCGATGGTTTCAAGGAGTGTATCTCAGATGTTAGGACGGACACTTCTCGCCTGCGCACTTCCACCAGCAGGCAGCGCATTCAGGGCGTTCGCCTGGCGATGACTGGCGACTCTTCTGCGTGCAAAGCCAGGACTGGCGAAGCGGGAAGCGGGAAACACTGGCGGGTTGCTCAAACTCTCCGGAATTACAAGACCTGAAGTCTGGCACCATGAAAAACATGAGCACCTGATGATCACCTGATGATCTGATGCATTTTAAATCGATGCTAAGTCGAGCACCTCGCCTGTGTTCGCTCATGCACCGGCCTCACATGACCTCACCAGTCCTGTCCACACCCCCAAGACCCGCCGGCGGCGCCGCGGTGGATTGGTTGGGATCGGACTGTGCGCACAAGGTCAACACCGTGCGGCCCATCTGAATCGAAATGTTCACACCTGGCGCAAGTTGCCACACCGCGCGTGGCGGCGGTTGGTGCGGTTGGTGCGGTTAGGGAGAGCGGTTGTGGGGTTGTGGGGTGAGTGCGCGAGTGCACTCCGTCAGTGGACCAGGGAATCCCCGTCAGCTCAGAGGTAGATGGCAAGACCATGCAAGACCATGCTGGTTTGACCGGGGAGTTCCAAAAGACATGTTGCTTTGGACATGTTTTGACTCACATGCACGTCATGAACTAGCCTTGATCTGTAAGGCACGAGCACGATGCCTAGCTGAGCTTAGCTGAAAAATGTAAGAAATATATACATTGGGTCGATCCTATTACCAGTGTCAGTGGATGATGATGGTTGCTAAAGGCATTTCTTTAAAAATCGTGATTTGCTTGTTTACTGACTGTTACAGGTAATAGGACAGACCCAATATACACATCTATAAATAGAACAAGGTCCAACTCCCAGCTCTACTCAGTCACGCAGTAGTCGTGTTATGTTAAAAAATAACATCGAGTCGAACATCGTCTTGATTCATGGAAGAAGAAGTCCTATACACGATAGTATACTTTCCGGGATTCCAGGGTTGTGAAAGACTGTGCGTCGACAGTACGATCCAGGCTTTGAAGGGTGCCTTTCTCGTGCCTTTCTTGTTCATCGATCGATGGATGCCTCTTCTGGCGTAAAAACCCGCTACAACTTCCAACCTATCAGGGGGGTCTACCGTAGACCCTACACTCTTGGTCGAACACGTAACGTAATTCATCTGCCTAGAAGCCAAACCCCGACCCATTTTGATCTTGTCAGATCACCATCACCTCCCACGGCTTTTGACCACTTGGAGACCCAAAATAACTCATGACGCGTGCCTGGCGAGCGATCCGTTTATGTCATGGCCATGACTGGCAGGTGGGGCCAGTAAGAAAACTCATAAATCATGTCGCTTCTAGGTTGGAGGCCATCGCTACTAGGGTGGAGGCCATCGCTAGTGATCCGTTCATGATCAGCACAATGTCTTCTTCCTAACCCTATAGGGCTCCGTCCGAAGGTGGGACTGGGGTGGGTTTCGCGGGTCCAAAGACCTGAGGAAGTCCGGCTTAGAGCGGGACTGATCATCCACAACTGGGGTACAGGGCTTCCATTCCTGGGTAGCAACAGGATCGGGTCAACCCAAAACCACCTCCCTTCTGGTAAGACCAGGTCGCGACATTCATGGTCATACCAGGTCCCAACCAATAGATGGCTGTGGGTCAAGACTAGGATACAGTGCATGACCTACCTGGGAGGTTGTTTTATTGCGTGGTGCTGTTCACTCCAGGTTTTTAACCCAGATCAATGCTTGTCTTTGGAGTCTGGAACACCTGGAGACCCCTCCAGTCGCCACGTCCCCGCGTCCGAACACGTGAAGACCGCGCGTCCGTCCGCGCGGAGGGAGTCTCAGAGCTCCTGCGTTCCGGGTCGCGCAGCCCAGTGCGCCTGGTTCCAGAACCTTGGGTTTCTTCATCGCCACCAGTGTGCCGAACTTGGAACTGTTGTCCTGACAAGGCGGCGCAGGCTGTGATGCTGCGACCCCAAGGGTTCCAAAGCTGCTGAAACTCTTAGATATATACTGATACAACGAGTTCCAGAACACCACTTGGAGATGGAAAGGAAAAACTTCCAACTTCAAGTGTAGACCAGAGTGGATGGCACCAGCTCCAATGGTTCAGATGGATTCCCGAAACTTGGTCTCGAATGCATGCGACTCTGAAACAACCCTGCTGTCGTACATGTGGCCTGGGGTATTCCGACAGGCCTCGGAGTTGGGAACTTGATGGAAACTTGAACCTCGTCATGTTGGGCTGTTTCGGCTGGTGTCCGCCGGAAAACTCCGAAGCGATCCAGAAGGTCACAGAGATCCACCGTTCAATGGTTAGCAGCGTGGCCCCCCCCCAGAACTCTGCAAGAACTACCCGCACGAACCGGCAAAGATCCGCCGAGTCCTGTAGCAAAAACTGGCCCTTACCTTGGTGTTGCTGAAACAATGGGCATGTGCGGCCGTGAGTATGGGCCTAAGATGTATGAGACATATATGATGTATATGATATGATAGAAGCTTGATGTGAATCCCTGTTGCCCTGTCGGTGGTCAAAGGGTCTTCCAACTCAGATAGGATCATAATATATATGTTTTTATTTAGGCGCTGGCTTGTCTTGGTGCTGGCCTGACGGCGGTCCTTTTTCTGGGCCCTCCAAGATCCGTGTGGGGATGCATCGGAACATGGTTTGGAACACGATCTTAGATGGTCCAGGTAGACCATTGAACAAAATATTTGTATATTAATAAAATTTATAATATGTATATATATATATATGATATCTAATATCTAAAAAAAACAAAACAAAACAAACACTTGCGCTGGAGTTACTCAAACATGTGCCAATGTGTGCTTGCCTTTTTTTCTCCTATATACGTGTTCCCCCCTCTCTCCAATTGGCATTTGACCGAGCTGGGCCTACACCTCGACGGGAGGGTCACCCAACTGTTTGGGACGAAGGTGAGCCGAGGAAAAAAAGACATGCTCTGGCTATGTAGCTTCACTATGGTTACTAGTTTTTGCACCATGACATACCATGACCTATAGACTGTAGACTCTTGAGGTACATAAACCAATCCGTTTGAAGTGGAAAACTCTTCAGGCCTAAAGGGTTTGTCCTCCAGAACCTGGACCTGGTTCTTTTCGTCTCAAGCCGTAAAGGAAATCGGCACCCGACCCACCCGACCCAATGCCCCCCCCTAAACGGCGCATGCCGGTCACCAGCTCGAACGCTCCGGGCGGGGATCCCGCCCACGGAGAGGGTCTCGAAACAACGGCGACTCGGGGTCCCAAGATGTTTGAACATCTTTAAGGTGGAAAACATGGGTAGGTCAGAGGATGAAATTGGTCGGGAAAGAACTTCTGGGCTTTCGAGTCTAACATGCTGTAGTCTCAAGACCTGGTGTGGGTCGGAGGTACCCAATTGGATTCAATTGTAACTCTTGAACGGCATCAGCTGACTGATGTTTTTCCGTCTACTGCTTGGTCCAGAGGCCCTTGATGTAGGAGATCAGATGCTCCCTAATAAGTCTACATGGAATCCATGTCAGACTGATCCAGGTGCGTTGCAGTTGTTCTCTTGGCCCCATGTGTGGGGGGCCCAAACACCCCTCCCAAGTGGTGTGTGGGGCCGCAGCACCTTCCCACCTTGCGGCCCATGCGGCTGAAGCGGATCGTGGCATGGCAACGGGAGATCGAGACCTCGCTGGGCTGGCCAACAGTCTGGTATGGCTCGCTGGATGGTAGGAGTTGATGGATTTGATGATCTTTTTCAATTAAGAGGTGCGTGTAGAAGCCATGGCCTCCAACCTAAGAGCGATGGCCTCCACCCTACAGTAAGAGTGATGGTTTTATGATGGGTTGATGTCTGATCTATCTCAGGGGAACATGCCCGGGAAGAGACTCACATGGAAACCACTGCTTTGTGGAGGAAGCTAGTCTGCCATGCAGCTCCATGCCATCAGCTTTGGTCTCGTCCCTATCAGGAAGTACGTCTTTTGCCTCCGTGCTCCAAGCATGGTTAGCCGCTGGCGAAACTTGGATTTGCTGAACTTCAGAACCTGAAAGAAAAATATTCACGAATTCCATATACCAGCAGAGGTTGAAGAACCCTTTCGACTATCCTATAGGTACCCCTGTAGGGTCCTATTTACGGTCACTTAACGGTTAAGTCTTAACCTCTGCAGGTATATATATACCTGGACCATCCTGTCTGGGTGGAGGGCAGTCACTGGGAGCCAGGTGACCTAGTGGATGGTATCTGACCACCTGGTAAGCACACTGACCCAGTTCATGAAAAATCGCCTGATCCACCTGATCATCATGAAAAATCCAGACGCTTCACGTCGCGGTTTCTCCGCTGCTTCTTTCACGGGAACGCAAGCCGTTCACCTGCGGTCCCAAACCAGTGGTGTTTCGTCCCAGTGGGTTTCTTCGCATGGTGAACCACCGACTCATGGGTCGATCGAAGGGAAGCACGAAGTGCAGAAGAATCAAAGAGGTTTATATATACCTATAGCGCTTCTTGTCGGGGTGCCCTGGACAGGGAGACCTGTTGACGTACGTGTGGAGATATCCAGCCAGGTGACCCCGTGTCCGGAAGCAGCTGGTAGTGGTATATCACTTCTTGGGGGCTCCAGTTGCAGCTCTTTGATCCTCATACTCGCAGGGCTTCATCTCTCAACGTTCACAGGGTCTGTGGCTTCTGAAGCGCGCAGATCACTCAGAGCAACAAGAGGGAACCCAGCCACCGGCCCTGGTCACCGCGCATCTTTGAACAACACACCACACGTGCACGCAGATCAAGAAACTGGTTGGAGGGTGCTGGGATTCACCAATAGGCTCTTAGCCATGCATGGCCAGGGTGCCACACAGCTCTGACTTCCATAGCTGGACAGCTGGTCAGCTGGACAAGCAAAATGTGGTTGATCTTCAATGGTTCTTTCCCGAACCTTACACCGGTTTCAACCTCCTCTGTCGCCCAAACAAAAACCTGGGCAAAAAACCGCAGACAGCCCCACCCCGCTCCGAAGAAGAAAAAGAAAAAGAATTCTTTGAGACCCCCCGCCCTCCGCAATGATTCATTAGATCCCAGATGAAGGGAGACTTCGAGGATTGGGAATGAGTACAGCTTTTCTCGAGAAAAACACCATGTAGATGAAAAACATCGGAAAAACGATCGCATATTCCTCCATCATGCTCATGAAGTCATGGCTACATCGTGATTTAAAAAAAAAAAAAACGCCATCCAAAAGAGAAAGGCAGGGAGGATGAACTCCCAACTCTTCCCAACTCTTCCTCACTCTTCCCAACTCTTCCCAACTCCCACTCACCCTACAACTGTCTCACGCCCTCCTTACCCGCCCCGTTCGATTCCCGCCCGCCCCTTCTCCGCCCCAAGCGGCGTCGGCGATGCGGACGTCGCTCTCGTGGCCGCGGCCCAGCTTCAGCTCCTGGCGACGACGTGGGCGTTGGGAGTACTGCCATGATGTGCATCAGAGCTGGCTTCCGCATGAGGGCTCAAACTGCCAGGCTTGGTGGTGAAATGTGGTGAATTCATCTTCAGTGATTGAACAATTGATGATTGTTGTGTTTCGATTTCGGAAAGCCAGTGTGTATTCTGACCAAACTGTTTGCTGCTTGGCTGATGTGTTGTCTCCACTCGTCTCCAGGACCGACGGTTCGTCCGTACCGTTCACCGGGTCCAGGAACCCGAACCGAGCCGGAACCCGGAACCGCTCGGTCAGGTCCCGGTCCGGTCGACACCATGACCACTGGTCAAAGGGACTCATCATCATCCAGCTCGCAGATCCAGCTCGAAGCCCGGGGGCTGAAGCCCGTCACTGGTGTACGGAACCTCACCTTCCCCCCCACTCCCATCCCGTCCCCACCGTCCGCTGGCTTCGGTGAACAGCGACGAAGCAGGACGTCGGCGCCTTCTCGGCCAGAGAGATGACGTGGAGTCCCCGGGAGGTGTGCTGCTGAGAATCCCGGACCTGGACGCAGTGGGCCAGGTCGGTGTTGATGCGCGAGCGGTGGTAGGTGGAGAATGGACAGTGAAATAGATGTGAAAACCCCGGTGAAGAATGCGGAAGCAGATCAAATTTGGGCAGATTGACCCAGATTGAGAAGAAGAAGATCGGAAATCAGTGCAGATGATTTCAGCACCTGATAAACCTCATGAGGTCCCAAAAGAGGCTTGTTCAATGATTTCACTTTTGGTTGATCACTTGTCCATTTGGAAACGTGATCAGGAGCCGTGCCCGGAAAGCCACCAACGCCCGCCAGCTGAAACGCCACGTGCTGAAACCGCCACGACCGCCACGACCACCTCGCTCCATGGGTCTTTCTGCGCAACCCTCGGGAGGCCCCAACTGCTTCGAAGCCACAAAAACCAGAAACACCTGCACGACTGCCCAGAAAGACTGCTAGCAATCCAGTGGCTCTCCATCCATGGACTCGGACACTTCAGTGGTGACTCATGAACTTTTGGCCCCCCAAAAAGTCCTCATCCGAATGAACCCGACTGTCTGGACATCGAAAAAAACCCGTCTGTCTGGACGTTCCTTCCTTCACTTGCCCGGCAGCTTTCCAGGACTCCCTGCCATGTTCTCCAGAACGATGAAGGGTGGTGTAGTGTTTGGAACTTCAACCAGCGGAGACCGCTCATGTCCCTGCCCGGCGTCGAATCCGCTCGGTGGACCCGACTCGGCATGTGGCGGGCGCGTGCGACGTCGAAACTGACGAAGCTCGACGAACGAAGCGATGGACGTTTTGGGGGTCCGAAAATGATGCCGAAAAGATGCGAAAAGCACATCATGATGACTCTTTCTCTCCCTCTCTCCCTCTCAAATGTGCTTGGTGAGCTGGTCTAGCCGTCTGTCTAGCAAATTCAAAGGCCTTGGATAGCCCAGTGTAAGGCTTAGTGGGCAGCAATCGGGCATGGCGCAGAGTAATCCGAGTTCATCCAGTTCCAAGGGATGCCACAAGATCTGCAGCTTTATCTTGAATGTGTATGGCCCAACCCTTTTTCCTGGAAACAAGCAAACCAAGACCCTGTGCTACTTTATCTTCCACCGGGTCTTGTGAAACATGTCCATCGTCACAGAGATGTCGCCCACAATCTGCCGAATCTCAGACCTTCCGCAAGCGACCTTCCGCAAGCGACCTTCCGCAAGCGACCTTCCGCCAGACGACTCCCTGCTCCGCCAGACGATCTCACTCAGCTGGGGCTCCAAGCGCTGTTGGTGTGGATATAGGTCGGGTAGATAGATTTGCAAAGCTCACACGTCAAAGGCCTGGTCAAAGGTCGGTGACGTGATCATCGCTCAGAGAGTCGTTTTTGCCATCGAGGCGAAAAGTCGGATGCCCCACCAGTCTGCTCGGCTCGTCTCCGAAGTGCGTCTACACTCCGACTCCTTCACAGCGGAAACCGCCCTATTTGTTGAGGAAAATCGTCTTTCCCAGTTGGGGCATGCCATCCATTTCCATGTTTTCATTGGAGGGTACTCCCTGGTACCAAGAGAACTCCCCCATGCAGACCTGGTTGCGAAGCCTGGACTTGCCCACGGGTCCAGGTCCCCGGTATGTCCGATGAAGGTGAGGGCTTCTGTTGGGCTCAGATGCTCCAGACAGCCCGACTGTTCCCCTGCAAAACCGGGATTTGAGGATTTGAGACCCCAAACCCCTCCATCTGAGGGTACGGATCCCTCCATATGAGTCATCAATTGTTCTACCCTCAAAAACCCTCAGTCTAGAGCCAGGACGCTACGAACGGGCGACCCTGGCATCGCTACGAACGGAGCGTTCGGAGGCTACGAACAGGGCTCCTGGCCTTGCTACTAGTAACAAGAATTCTATTAGGAACAAGAATTAGAATTTGATGAGATCATCACCCGCCCTCTGAAACAGGCGGAGCGAGCGGTGGGGATCACACAGCACCCGGCCGTGATCTCTCGCGATGATAGCGCCGTGATCTCTCCATTTATCTGAGCCGTCCCACAAGAGATCGAGTGAGAATGTATTCAAACCAACTCAAGCCCCCAGAGAGGAAATGATGTGAAAAGGTTGCCGGTACATGGGTCGTCTCAAAAGAGAGCCTGGTCGACTTTGACAAGCAATGAAAAGCACATCCATCTGACCCATGATCATCTAGATCAAGTGGATGTGGATGTAACAAACCTGTGGTGTCCTGTGGTGTCTTCATCCATGCCCTGGGTGTGGCTCGACAACATATGAACCACCCACTGGGGGTTGTTGTCAACATAGCCATCTGGGTGTGTCTGAAGAGCTTCACTTGAGGTCCCCCCCGTGCTATGGCCCAAGGGCTCAGTGATTTGGGGGTGTCAACAGAACCTCTACTCCCTGTGCCAGCCTGCTTCTGTTCTAAGGCTTGGGAAAACCTGGTCTGCAACGACAAAACAGAGCTTGTCAACATGTGTCAACTACATCCACCAAGCATAGGGTGTAGAGCAATACATGCCTTGTGTAAAAGTAGCACATGAACTACTTACACTAGTTATCTTCAAGTTATTCTTAGTCCCACACCTTCCTAAACCGTTGCTGCGTTGCCGTGTGGCCAAAAAAAGAACAGGCCCCCTCGGTTTGAGACATACCCAGACGAATTAGTGCATGAATGGACAATGCTTTGCATTGGCCCATTGTCGTTGCAAAATGAAGCAAAAGCATGAAAAACCCCCAGACTCGACGCATCCAGGTCCGCGTCTGAACGGGTCCGGCTGGCCCAACAGAAACTCTCCCAGCGGGGTCCAGGCCCTCCAATGTCTCATGTCTCATGTCTCGCAGATCGGAATTCTGCGCTGGCCAACTGCCAAAGGAAGATGGTCTACAGAGTCTACCGCTCACGCGTGCAGTTCAAAGTACTGCAGCACGTCCTTGTAAAACCTGCACAGAAAAGTGCAGAACGAAATGGCTTCGTCCGGTGAGTGCCAGGGAAAAAAGAACCATGGCTGCCAGGACCTTCCGTTCGAGGTGTCTATAAATAGAGGTGGAGGTGATGACCGGGATGTCCCAAAACCACCGGGTGTGGAAAAAAAAGGAGGAGACCACCAGGCCCTGGCTGGCCTTTGTCTGGCTCCGAACCCAACTGGGACTGGTCTGTTCCTCTTCCGAACCGAACCCGCTCTTCTCACGAACGTCCGTCCGGAGCGTTCGTTCGGCGAACCGAACGGGGCGCTCCTTCGTTGTCCCGCCAGCGAGACGAACGGGGGCGGTCTTTGAAGCTTCGACTCGTCGCGTGTGTAACATTCCATGTCAAACTCTGCATTCCTCCCATTACCACTAAGGAAGGATGTCGACGAATTGCTTCCGTTCGGCTAGAAGCTCAGCTATAGCTGTCGACTACGTCGACTTATGAAGCGCTATGTCTTCGCTCCGTCGAGACCGATGTCTGAAGCTCGCTAGACACCATCATCGCCCGAACGGGTCCATCCGGAGAAAACGCCGCCGCCAAGGAAAACAACCGGTGAGGTAGGGTGAGGTAGGGTGACAGTATAGTATAACTATACCAGCACCTTCCAACAGGTCTCCGACATGAAGGCTTTTGTAGACTTAAGATGACTTAAGGGTGTCGCAGGTGGTGACCTGGCAGTGAAGGTCTTGGTATATACCCCCTTCCAGGGATGGTCTTTACGGTGTTTTTTGAGGCGTTTCGCCACAGACCACCAGTCCTGCGTAGATGTCGTCACCCAGCCGTTTCAAATGATTGTCAGAACAAAAATCCTCCAGATCCACTGCGTCTGACGTAGAGTTCGCAGTCAGTCAAACACTGCCGGACCGATTCCACTACGTCAAGAACGGTCGGCTCCCAACTTGTTCCCATCAAAAGACCAGCACCTATATTGTAGGAGACATGTTCACACCGGATATGGATTTGTCATGTCTATCTACGGCCCGACCCAGACCCATTCTTACAAAAAAAAGCCATGCACGCCGCAAGCGAAGCATAGAAACTCGCCATCTCGCTTGCAGCATCGATGCGGTCGCTTCGCGAGCGGTCATGGTCCAACCGCGGAGGGACTTGGGGCGGACGACGAGCTACGGCCCTTCTTCCGCCCTTCCATCGCGGCCATGGAACGAACCAAGACATGACGAAGCATTGGGGGATGCTTTTGGTTCCGGTTTCAGAAGCTGATAGAAACTGATTGGCTCACCCCAAGCCGAGCAGCTGAATCGCTTCTTCGCTGCACTTGGACCAAGTGAAGTTCTTCGCAGCATTGGCCCGGGCAGCGACCTTCATCTGCTCCTCAAAGGCGAGACGTTGGTGGGATCTCCACGCAAACATCGGTCGCCCAGGGATTCAAGGTCTAGGTTTAGTAGTTCTTGAGACGGTTGGTGGGTTGGTCGGTTTGTTGCTGGGTTTGTTGGTGGATTTGTTGGTGGATTTGGTTTGGTCCGATTCGGTTTGGGTCTTTTGGGGGGTAAATTCTACAGAGTGCACGGCACCAAACACCAAAGAAGTTGCTGAAAAGGATATACGAAAGGATGCTCAAACTCCAAATCTTCCAGACCATTCCATTCTCAACCTAAGGGTCCAGCACCCTCCGTTGCTCGGATGGTCGAACGGAGGTGAGTTCGTACTTCGAATGGCCGAACTGGGGCCAAAGGACAGGACGGACATCCGAGCAACGGATGGTCCTGGACCCTTAGGGCAAAGACGGTCAAATGTCTCATGCACCCCAAAAAGGTACCCAGGTGAGTCTTTTTTACTCGGAAGGAGAACCGGAACCATCGATGAATGACCAAGTCCCACCACATGTGACGGAGAAGAAGCCGATCGATCAGACCATGGGGGGGAGTCCATGACACAAAGTATCATGGAAGTGGAGTTCACCAGCTGTTAGTTCATGGTCTTCCGAAGCCCTCAGGGCCCTGCCATCCACATCACCAGGATGAGAAAACAGGGAGTGTATCTTCGGCAAAGACCTTGTGGTGTAGATAGACTGGGAGCAACACGAAGCAACCATGATGATTCCAGGGAGTGTACATCCTCTCTGGAGTACGATGGAGCAACACACACAAAGGAAATGGAGAGGAAAAACATGGAAAAAACAGGAAACATTAAAATGATCATGGAACACAATGGAACACAGACAAAACAAAAAAAAAGAGCTGCACGCTACAGGCAACACGCATGGTTTCACCTCCCTCTCCTGAAAGTACCGCGCCTCATTTGCCAAAAGGTACAAACTGAACCTGGTTGCCTCTAACCTAATAGCAATGGCCTCCAACCTAGTTGCCTCCCCATGCATTCCTTGACGAATACCTCCTCCGTCCCTTTTTATCGTCTCGTCAGACTCTCCGCCGCGGCGCCAGACTCTTCCCATCAATGATGTCTTTGATGGCTCTCTTGGCATCCTCCATGTCCAGAGGATCGTACAAGCGGCCGTTCTCCCCATCAGCGACGACCTCGAAAAGCCGTGGGAGTTGACTACAAGATAGAAGAACCAGCCACTCAGATAGAATATGTTTGGAGAAATGCTGATGAATTTCGAACATGAGGATATGGATCAGCTATCATCAGTTATCATTTATCATCATGACCGCCATCACTAGATCAACATAAGAGCCAAGAAAAAAGCACAAGCACTTTGCGCCTACCAGCATCCTCACTGCCAGGTCACCGGTTGAGACTTACTAGAGGCCAACAACCCTTCACGAGACCTGTTGGAGCACCAGAAGTCGAACGGGGTCACCAGACCGTTACGTGGGTCATCGTGATCGTGGCGCGTGGATGGCAGAACGGCCCCCGACTGGGATGAGCCGACCGTCACGAGACCTGTTAGAGCACAGAAGTGAAGGTCACGAAACGATGATTCCAGGAACCTGTATATGGGTGTGTATATGGCTCTTAGGTTTAGGTTGGAGGCCATCCCTAGTAGGTTGGAGGCCATCGCTAGTGGATTGGAGGCCATCGCTCTTATGTTGGAGGCCATTCCTATAAGCTTTGAGTCCTAGTAGGCCATCGCTAGTAGGTCTTCTTTGGACCATTGGGAGACCGGTCTCGACCCCCTGCCTCAATGGGTAGACTGATCTAAACATCCATTCTTGGACGGGATCGGACCGGTCTCCCTATCTTCACACCCTGCACCTCTGTGTTTCAGATCCCCTCTCTGCACCTCTGCATGGGAAAAGCACCAGTCGCCCGGTGTTCACTCTAAAACATGCGCAGTAGCGCCACGCAGTAGCGCCATGCATGAGCGCATCTGTGATGCTTTGCCAAATTGGTGCATCTGTGCGCGCTCCCAGGACACACCCTTTCCTTATATTGGGTAACAGGCCATATATCAAGTTTTGGGGGGGGGGACAACACCTGGGCTCCTTCCTGGGGGTTGCTCTCAGCTACTCAGCTACATGTCAGTGTACTTGCTTGCCTTCCTCACCTGCCTTTACCACCCTCCAATCTCATCCCAAAAAAGCACCCATCACCCCCCAGAAAGATCCTCCCACCTGTCCCACCAGTCCCTGCCACTAAGGTTCCAAGGGCACCGCCACCGCGCGGGGGCCGACCACTGCCAAGCCCGCCGCCTGCGACTCGATGAAGACCAAGTCCAACGTCCCAGTGACCTGCATGATGCGTCGCGCCGCGCCGCGTCCGCGTCTGCCGCGTCCGCCAATGGGTCTAAGGGACCTACAGAGGTTCAGTGACCGTAAATAGGACCCTACAGGGGTACCTATCCCAGACACTCCATGGGACTGCCATATATGCCTACATTGACCTCCAAAACCACCCCAACTGATCGGTAAATATACCAGTCCCATGGAGTGTTCTGGGGTATAGTATAGGATAGCCGAACTAGGGCTCTTCAACCGATGTGAAGGGCGACGGTGGTCCAGGTCGGCTGGGCGACGGTCCAGAAGCGAATTTCTCGCCGAAGGTCGGTGTTTCCACCACTCCAAAGGATTCCGTTGCGAGGAAAACGAGTATTCCGGAGTGTATATTTTGACCGGCTGAAGTAAAGGAAGTTCTCTTTCCCCTATTGACTCTCAGGGTATATGTTTATCTCCAGTCCCATTCACTGTGTTTTCCCATTCGTGATCATGGCGTCCCAGCTTGACGACCGAGTCCTGCTTGACGACCAAGTCACCGTGGGCGAGAAGAAGATGTCTGCCGAGGCCACCGCGCTCGCCAGCTCCTCGCGGCCAACTGGGACGGGTTGAAGAGAGACGTCGGCAGCTGAGCAGCCAACCTCCCTATATTCATCAAGCCCAGCTCGAGCACCCCAATAACCAACGAATTGAACACCTGAATTTCCACTTTGGAACAGAGGCCAAGTACTGTATGCAGTATTTTGAACTACATAGATGGCCAACATTGGAAGAGGCTCCTGTTAGCGAGTTTCCCACAAAACTTCACTTCAATCTCCCCCCACTCCCCCAGGCGATACAGGGTCTCCGTGGCGAAGACACCACAGGAACGAAGCAAATTCGTCCGGCCACCGTGGCCGGATTTCTGAAGGCGGAACGAAGGTCAAGGGCGAAGCACGTCAGAGGAAGGACTGTGCCAATCCCCAAACACGACAGATGGGACTGGTATACATTGGTGCCAGGGGGCTCTGGCATATATGCGGCAGTCCGTCCTGGCAGTCCCATTAGTCCCGTCGTGTTTTGGGAATTCTCACCCAACACCAACACCACGTTCTTGCCCAACTTCTCCTCCCCTACCACTGCGCCGGGCATGTAGACATCCGGCCGCTCGCCGATCTCCGCATGGATCGATTCCCAGCTATCCCCGTTTCCGATGATGGCGAAGCGGCAGAGCTCCCGTTCGCCGGGTGGATTGGTGACTTTCACCAAATCCACCAACTTGTCCACCTGGAACAAAAGGGCCAAAGCTTGAAACGATGGGAAAGGCCACGAGATTCGAGCACGAGATATTGAGATGGTATTCCGCCAAATAGTGTAATAACAATGACTATGATATTCCGCCTCAACAGCCAAGATCAAAAAGATCTGCTGTGAACCGCTGGATGGAATACATGGGTGGATTTTGCAGTCAACCCCCCCATCGCAGCTCGGCCTAGACTTTCCAGCTTTGTAATCATTTGCCCCTCCATCAAAAGACCGACTTGTGCTTAGTAGGAAATGAGGGAATGGATCCAATGGAATCTCTATCGGGGGCTCATTCCCCTATTCCCTACTAAGTACCAGTCAAAACAACTGCCAAAAGACACTGAACAATTGCAGAAATCTTTGATCGAGTTTGGCCCAAACTGCTCTCATAGACATATATATTATATATATTGACATATATTGACTTAATGGCAACAGGGATGCATGTGGAGCGATTCGAGCAAACATATGATTGTTCACCGACTATGACGTCGAGAACCGCCCTTCAAGGAAAGGCGAGTCATGCCCCCCATCCACGCAGCAACCACCTGCTTCTCTGGTGAAAGCCTTCCCACAAAGACTACCAGAGGCAGATCAGGCCGGTGGTTGCTGCAAAGCTCACGGCTGGTTGGCTTCGCTTTCGAGGGATGGAAGAAGTTCAAATCGCATCCTGGTGGGTTTGGCAGCGCTCTTTTCACCGCTGGTGGAAGGGGGAGAATGGGTCAGGTTGGGCCAGAGCTTTGGTGAGCAAGATGTAGGAAGTAGGTTTGCAAAGGCAGCAGTGGCCACTGCCAGGACCAAACAAAACATGAGAGTTGGTTTGATTCTGTTGCTGAGTGAGCCATGGCACGTTAGGCCACTGCCAGGGCTTCGAGACAAGCTAGGTCACTCTGGTCAAAAGCATTTCAAAACTGCACGGATCAAAGAATATACGTTAATTCCAATCTTACTAGTAGAGTCCCCGCTTAAGTTTCTTTTCAAGCCGTGTCTCCCCCATGTCAGGCATGGGAATTCTGAATGTTCGAAATCGCGAGCAACCTCAATGGTTTGATGAGCTCGATTTCTGGGCTCAAAAGTTACCCACATCAAAGCGTTACCCACATTCATGTCCGATGAGTCTGGTTTTTTACCAAGCCGCAAGATTGTGGACAAGAATCCGAGGTTAAAATCAGATGGAAAACCTCCAGATTTGATTAGTCACTACAAAGACTTGAATATATCAAACCGAAGGAGCATTGGATCAACCTCGAACTCCCTTGAACAAAACTCCCACTCTCAGCTTGCGACGATCCGACCTACCCGGATAAGCGCAGCCTCTGGAAGCCCCTTTCGGATCGGTGGAAGCGGGCCGCGTCCTGTGGACCAGAAGCGCAGATTGGGATGTCCCTGGAACCAGGATTGGTCCTTCCTGAGCCACGAGACTTGCTGAAGAAACGAACGAGGAACGGCCAGAAGATGCACGTCACCGCAACTCTCGCGAGAGCCCCCCCAAACAAAGAGACATGTAAGCTCTCTTGTCGTTTCGACCCTTCCAACGCATGGAAATCGGCTGTGATGATGATGATGATGATGATGATGATGATGATAAGGGCCACTAGCTCTCAGGCCCTATACCTTCAATAGGTACGGGCTGGTGCGGACCCCCCACGCCCATGGTCATGCGGGAGAACCTGACCACCTCGGTTTTGGAGATCCTCCTCAACCGGCACTACATCACGCTTCCTGGAGGACTATCTCAAAGGCAACACTGCATGACTGTTCCTGAGGCTGGTGCGGTCATCCTGGCTGTGGTTCTCTTCCTTCAGGTGTTTTACCTGTTTCTCCTCTGGAACTTTGAGAACTACCAGGATTCCTCCTCCTTGAGAAGACAACGATCCAGGCCATCGAGAACAGCCTCCCAGGTCCTTGCACCTGCAGCACGAGCTAGCTGGGGTCCCAAGTCCCCAGCCAGGGCAGGCCTCCTTCTTTTGCTTCTTGGAGGAATCACCGTGGACTACTACGTGGACTACATGACCGAGCTCAATCCACATGCCCTGCCCTGGAGGCCCGAGGGTTCCGAGCCTGCCACGAGGTTCGGTGAAGCCTGAGGTCAATTTGGCATTTTGCACCTGGCCTTGAGGTCAAGCCAGCCGGTCAGGGCAAGGGAGCACCTTGCCAGACTGCTTGACCAGACCTTCAGCTAAAAGCTGATTGAGCTGGAAGGCTCTACGGAGCCCAGGCGGATCACCAGGATCCACGCCTTCATCACCGATGAGCGTATGGATCGTATGGAAAGAAAAAGAGATGATGATGATGATGATGATGATGATGATGATGATGATGATGATGA